CCCGGTCCCGGTCCCGGCGGGAACCGAGCGCGACGCGGCCCCTTCTCCCTGCAGGCATCGACTTCAAAATCAGGACCATCGAGCTGGATGGCAAGAGGATTAAGCTGCAGATCTGGTAAGAGTCGCTCCCGCCGCCGCCTCAGCAGCTCCCGGGGCGGCCGCGGCCCCGCTCCTCTCCCCGGTGGCGCCCAGCAGTCGTTACCGTAGCCTGGAAGCCGTAGTTGGAGCTTTAGTGTCTCTAAAGAGCGAGAGCGTGGAGTGGAGCGTGCGGCGCTGAGCCCGTGTTCTGGCCCTTGCAGGGACACGGCGGGGCAGGAGCGGTTCCGGACCATCACCACGGCCTACTACCGCGGAGCCATGGTAGGGACGCGCGGGCAGCGCCGGGCTTGGGGGCGCACGGGACGGGACGGAACCCGCGAGGCCGAAGGCTCCCGGCCCCCCTGCTCCTCCCGCGGAGCTGCCGGAGCCAGGGCCGCACAGGGATGTGCAGGGACCTGCAAACACCCACCCCGCCACAGCCGCCCGGACACAAACCAGGGCTAAATGTTACGTGTACCTTGGAGATATTGGGGTATTTTATTAGCCTTAAGTTTCTCTGTCATGGAAAAGTTGTTAACTTTAGCTTAAATCACTGCTAGCTCAAATAAGACCTTTTTCTTTTTAATCCTTAGGGCATTATGCTTGTCTACGACATCACCAATGAAAAATCTTTTGAAAATATTCGGAACTGGGTCAGGAATATTGAAGAGGTAACTTCTGCTTGCTTACTGAATATTGAAAATCCTGGCCCCRTTCTAGACATGGGTGAAAGCCAAGTGCTTCAGAGTCCTCCTGTTTCTAATTCCTGTCCTGCATGGTGAACTGGGGAAGCCGTAACAGAGGGAAACTGGTGACACCTTGGGTCACCTTGGATAGCAATTCATTGCATTCAAGTGAGAGCAAGTTAGATGGACTGTGGCCTTCCTAGTGATCAAGGGAACTAAGAGCTGTTTTCCTGGCACCATAAGTGACCTAGAGAGKTGTCTCTGTGGGGAGCTGAATCGCAGTGAGCTGCTGGGATGGAGTGATAAGCTTGTGGGGAGCTCGTAAAGCTGTTGAAAACATTTCACATCAGGAACTTTGTTTCAGTTCTTGGTTTGTGCTTCGCCTTTCTGATAGCGGTTGCCTACCAAACAGCAAGCTGAGGTACTCTCTTGTGTCTGTTTCCATGCCAGCACGCGTCCCCAGATGTTGAAAAAATGATTCTTGGGAATAAATGTGATGCGAATGACAAAAGGCAAGTGTCGAGGGAGCAAGGGGAGAAGGTGAGTGCYGCAGCCTGGCTCCAACTTGTCCCTGCTAGTTGGTGCTTGGAGCCAAAATCTTCTAAACCCCCCAGTCCCTTTGGACCCCGCGAAGCCCCTTGCTGCCGCATCCCTTTCAGAGCAAGTCGAGTCTCTGCTGCAGCCGCCTCAGCAGGACTTGAGCTCTTGTTTTGAAGCCCCAGCCGATGAGGTTGATCCGCTGCTTCCCAGAGCTCCCTGAAGCACCCACGGCTTCCCTGCTGCCTTTCATATTCATCCCCGTTACCTTAGTCAGAGCAGTGAGATCTTCTACGTGAAAGTTAAAATGGGTTTTACTCCTTTTGATGTATGTGTGCCCCAGCTGGAAAGACTCTGAGCTCAAAGTCTGCTCCTCTGCTGATAGAAAACCCGGGTTTCGTTGGGGAAAAGAGCGCAGGGTTAGTAGTCGGTGGTTTCTACACCTAAGAACATACCAGGCACTACCTGGGAAGTGCTGCTCTCCTCTGTGATCTGTTACAAGTGCCATGGTCACGACTGAAGCTTTTCTTCTGTAAAACAGAAGAACAAAGGYCGGTGAGAATAGATGCTGATAGGAGTGAGATTTGGTGCCTGGTTTTGCAGGTTGTTCTGCTTGAGTAAATCCCCAGTTCCTGGGAATCGCTCTGGGAGGGGGAGACCCAGCACAATTGGTTGTATTGCAGGCTGTTCCTGCAATTATCCATCTAACGTGAACCTGTTTTTGTTCAGCTTGCTGCAAGTTTTGGAATTAAGTTTATGGAGACGAGTGCAAAAGCAAATATAAACATAGAGAATGTAAGTATGCAACCTTTCSTGCTGTGTTTGGCCTTAGTTCATTCGTGCAAAGAAGCAATGAGAACTCGTGCCTGGGCTGACTGAATCCAAAACGCCAGCGTTAGATACTTTAGATGGTTATTAAATACGTTTCTTTGCCTCCTGTGAATGCATTCTCTAACCAATATTATTCTGAACAATTTGAATAATGTGGTGCTTTGAGCGAAATGCAGGGACATTTAACCAACTGGTTTGTCCTTGTAAATGGCCTTATCCAGTACATGGCCAAGGCAGCGTTTTGGCACTGCAGAAAACTTGGGTGTATCCACRTGGTGGGGTCTATGTCCTGTTAGTATTCAGTCTCAAAAGGGCAGTAGTGGAGTTAGAAAAGATGCAGGAAAAACAGGGGAAGGAGCTTTGAAACCTCAAGGAGAAAAACAATGATCCCACCGTCTTCAGGAGTTGGGTCTGTGTGCAAGAGTGGAAAGGCAGTTTATTATTAACAAAAACAAAAATAGGTTTTCTTAGTCTTGTAACTTTTCCCTGTTGTGCTTATAGGCATTTTTCACTCTTGCAAGAGATATCAAAGCAAAAATGGACAAGAAATTGGTGAGTAACTTTTACTGCTCAAGCTGTATTTAAATAGAAGAGGGGAGGTAAAAAAAAGAAAAGCGCCCTAAAACCCCCCTACCAGATCCTGTATTGACTGTGCTGTGGTGAATCCAGAGTATTTTGTGGGAGATGCACTGAAGATTATAGAAATTTATTTTTAGTCTTTGCAAACTAGTGTGGCCTTGGGATATTAACAGTTGTCTCTAAATTCAGAAATCAGTTGCAACAGTTGAGGTTCTATAAACAAAATTATCTTTTGTTTGCTTTATTGAAAGCCAAGTGAGTGGTAGAGGAGAGCAGTTTCAGGATATTTCTTGCTCTTGCAGTTTGAAAAACTGAATCATTTAACTGAAAAATACGGGAGGCCCACTTTGTACTTCACAGTCATCTTCAAACTCATGTTTAAATCTAGGTAGAGAACTAATGACTTTTTTTGATAATCATAAAATCATTTCTCAGGATACATTTGTAAAAGTCATGGTTCCTAGAACAAACAGACATATATCAATTTCAGTGTGTGGACTGAAGCTAACAGAAAATGAAATACTTTGGTAGCAAACAGTAAAAGTCAAACGTGTTTCCTTATTTTTATATATATATATATATATATATATATTTAATTTTGGCTGTCACTGAGTTTATAAAAGTAGGAAGAAGAAGTGCAGTCTGTGTTAGTCAGACCAAAAGCAGCAGATGCAGTGACCTCTGCTAGCGGCTGATGTAAAATTCACCTAAGTGAATGAAGATTCCTGCTCATCTCTGTGATAGTTTTTGTATAATCCCAGGCTTTGCGTCAGCAAAATGGATAAAGGAGAGGTGCAGGAGCTTGCAGGGATGCTGAGAGCTGTTCAGTATAAATAACTCAAAACTCTTTGACCCTTCAGGAAGGCAATAGCCCGCAAGGCAGCAACCAGGGAGTCAAAATCACACCAGACCAGCAAAGGAAAAGCAGCTTTTTCCGATGTGTTCTTCTGTGAGGGACACGGCCTTAATCTGAGCATCTGCTCAACTGAACTGGACTGTGCCTGTTCTGAGTGAGATTTCCTCTGTCTGTGGACTTTTCAGCATACCTTGTCACTCTGTGACTATCTGAATAAGAAATCGTTTATTTTAGTAATTGTCTGACTCTTCAATTTTGGAGACGAAACAAGTTTATTTTTGTCAGGTTGCCACTGGGCACGTGTATCGTCTAGCAGAGGGAATACAGATCCTGGGTGGCCTGTAATAGCGCCTTTGCTGACAGGCTTCAATCTTTTGTTCGTATCTGTAACGTATCCCGATTAGAGAGAAAAAACAATTAAGTTATGATCAAAATAAGAAACTGAAATGCCAATGTTAATAAAGTAGTGGTACGTGTACGTGCTACATGTGCATACCCACGTCGACGGATGCATAGAGAAGAATCGCATCAAAACAGCAGCACTTGGGCCAGCAGTCCAGGCCTGTACTTTCCTGAAGGCAGGAGGAAGCTTTCTGCATCTGTGTCCACTTTGTTTTGCTATTGCAGAGAAAATCCTTTCTCTGTTACCTTCTCAGTTGCGTTATTCTAGACAATCCGCAAGTACAATTGGAGTAAAAAAGAAAAAATCCTCCTCGAAGGAACTTCTATTTTTTTAAAAAGCCAAAGTGTGCTCTATAATCTYACAGATCTGTATAATGGGGAATTACTGTCTTCATATTAGAGATGACCGTGCTTAATTAAGTCATCCACACATTTAGACATGTTTAACAGGAGATAATCTGCTCCCAGGAGATACCTACACTCTGCTCCCGTGCCAGTGGTTGAGGCTGTGGTTGGATATGGAGCTTTCCTCAAATTGGCACCATCAGGCGCCAGCTCTTCCTTCTCCAGTTGACAATGTCACGAGGTCGTGACTGGTTCTAACTTGTGAGGAGAAAATGTATTGCACTGCTTCCAGTTGTGTGTGCCCACGCACACTTGCTCACATATGCAAAATAAATGTTGCACATACGAACACTTTCTGAAAACAACCTTTTTGGAGTGGCGATTTGCCTTGCTGCCCTCCGTGATCGTTTGGATTTCAGGCAGCAACGAACCTCTTGGTGTGCATCACTGCAAATGATGTTTAGTCCTCAGTGAAAATACTCTGTATTTATTCTTCTAAACACAGTCTACTACATTCCAATGTATAAAATAAAAAAGCCTAGTGAGGCTCCTGGGTAGCTGGTTGCTCTCAGTTCAGCGGCTGTAAGCCTAACACTAATTAGACTGATAGAAGGAGCCAGTAAGAGCCATCTGCTAAGAAGTGTGGTGTCAAGTAATTGAAGTAATGGTGTATTTAATCCAAACGAACATATCGGCTGTGTCCTGCAACTCACTGGAATTGTTAATGTGCTTTGTTTACATTGACAACTGCACTTGAGGGTAAAATTAAAGCTCATTTTAAAGCTAAAGAATTCATTCACCAGTTTGGTTTTCTTCAGGTTTGTGGTTTTATTTCTGGCCTTGCAGTAGCACCCTTTAAATGCTACATTAATTAAAAGATCTATCAGATTCATAATTAATCTTGATAAACCCTCAGCATGGAATTGGGCTCAACAGGATTATTGTCTGGTTTTTGAAAATCAAATAGAAAAAGAAAATTTAATTGTGCAACTCACTAGTTTATAAAAATGCATTTTATACGCATGACTTTGTTTAAAAAAAAAAGCTTTTTTTTTAATCTTTTAAAAAAACAGGCAATAGAACACAATGAACGCTGATCATTTTTAAAAACATATAAAACTTTCCAGAACCTCATGATGGTCAGGTTTGGGTTTTGTTTTTTTTTCCTCAAAGTGTAGTTCACAGTTGTAAGTTGGACAAGCAATAGTGCTCTGGGATAAGGATGCTTTTTGCAAGACTGCGTATGCTTCAGGCATAGAATTGGAGTAGAATTGGGTCTGAATATTGTTCCCCTACATAAAATGGATGCGTTTGCTTTGTTCCTGGCTTAGCAGTAAATGTGCATTTTCTCACGTCCATCTCTCTTGTACGTGAACGTAGCCAGATGTTGYGGTCACTCTGGTTGTTCCAAAGGGACTGGAAAGGAAGTGAGTAGTGTGAGGTTGATATCACAGGCTGCCCACCGGGATACTGGCTGCTTATTGACAGCATCTAAATCAATAATTTGTCTAGAGAGGAAAGGGAAAGACCCTATTAATTCACAGGTGGGAAGAATATGAAGAATGGAATTAGGCTTTTTCAGTTTCATTTTCTAAATTTTACATTACTCTTGCATTAAAGGTTAGCTCTTTGAATACTTTTTGTTTAAAGTTATGCTGGTTGTTACACATCTTTGCCTAATTTATAGCACAGTTTTCTTTTACAAAATGAACTGAATGAACAACTACACTGTTGCCCAATCTCAGGAAGTTTTATGCAGTTACTGTGACCTGCTGTCATCACTGCACTTCTAAGCTCTGCAGATTCTACATAGAAATTAAATCAATGTGAAATTTGATTTGATTTGAAAACTAAAATGCAAACCTAAGACAGGAATGCTTGGCTGTGAGTCTCTAAATACTGACATCAGATCTCAGATAAGTATGATAGGTAGTAGTTCTTATCACATAATGAAATTATGGTGCTTTTTCAAGTATGACATGAAAACAATGACCAGAAGATCCTTTGTGKTTTTTTTTTTTTTTAACTAAGGAGGGAATCATTTGAAACAGAATACAAAATCTGGAAAACTGAGTAGCTTCAATAGATCAGAAAAGCTAACAGTGTTTGCTACACATTCCTCGTGTCTAAACACCACTAAAATGTAAGGAATCAGTTAACAATTGCTGCTTGGTTTGCAGAGGAACAAACTTAGTTTTGAGCGAGTTCTCAAATTCCCTTATTTGAATGAGCATTGCAGAACTGTGTGGCTGACCTCATTTTTGAGGTTGCCTGCAGTGTTTCAGATAGTCCTCCGTCGTCTTGGAGCAGACCTGTCAGTACCCGGCCTGCCAGCGAAGGGTGGAACTGCCCTTTCCACACTTTGCCGTTTGACCACTTCGTTGTCTCGTTCCTGACATCAGAGCCTTACGCCAGCATCAGACTTTCAGCCTCAGATTTATAAATCCTATGGATTATTGTAAGTCTCCTTGTTGCTGCTGAAAATTATTTGATCTCTCCTTTCAYGTGGGATGCTGATCATCTTGCTGACAATTGTTAGGGGGGTTATGGTGGTGGTGGCTGTGTCCTTGGCTCAGAAGCTACCGTGATTTCCTGTCCTCCTGGCCATAAAGTGCTGGAGAGGGGATGGCCGCGTAGCTGCTTTCACAAGAGCGCCCATTTGTACTGGAAATCCATAGGGGATGGGAAAGAACGATGACTATCTTATATCTTTGTTTATATAGATGTAATAAAAATCTGTTCAATTGAACACGGATGGTAATGCGCAGGCTGATTATTTCAGGCTGCCTTATTCTTTGCCCCCTTTCGTTTACTCATTATTGGAGATTTTTTTTGGTTTCTGTAGTTAATACAGTAATTTAACAGACTAGTCTCCCTAGTCTTTGTGCAGGAGTTATCAGTTCTAAGGCGAGTGTAAATTGGGAGTTACCACGATTTGTTTCAAGAAAAAAATGGTGTATCCTAGAGTTTTAAAAAGCAACTTAAAACTTTTAAAAGTCATTACTTTTTTTGGCTGCCACCCTTTCCACATTGCAGCTGCTTTTTTAAACGCTTCTCACTGGTTCTCMTGTTTGTATTAAAAGCAAAACTGTTGTTTATGTATGTATGTTTTTACTCTGTTGTACAGGTCCCTGAGCACTGCATAAATAAACTTCTTATGAAAATGTAAATTTAAAAGAAACTTTTCTTAGTTTGTCAGTGCTGTTTATCATTCATAGATGATATAGAGATTCTCATGTTAAAAATRCATATTTTCCAAATGTAGTTTTAATCTGCAGGAGGCGGGAGGTGTTTTAACTAATAAGGTGTTTTATTACAAATTTTTGGGGAAGGTATAACTTGAGTTACATACAAGTTCCTCTAATATCTGATAATACTTGAACTAAAAACTATTTACCATATCACTGCTAAGGTCAGATGTATTCTAGCTGGAGGAGGGGAGAGAAATAGACAGTTCTGTGGAAATACACACATTTTGCTACATTACAGGGAAATTCGTGACAAAGAGTATGATAAATCATTCCTTTTAAAGAAGTAAACAGGAGTCAAAGTTTTCTGACCAGTTGACCTAAAATTGTCCTCTGGGGCTCTCATTTTCTTCTCTCATGGGCAGTAACCTCCAATGAAACAAGTTTGTTGTAGGCTCAAGAAGCATTTCCATCTCTGCATTCACTAGTTTCAGATTCGAATGTGGAATGTACTGTTAAAACAAACAAAAAGTAATGATCACGTATGTATAACTCTCTTGGAAGGCATTCGCTAAAATTAATGCTGGGAATGCTGCATTGTGTAAGACAGCCACATTCAAGTAGCTAATCTTATGCAGTTAATGAGGACATGCCAAGTAGCAATGTCAACTTTTTTTTATTATTGTTACTGTTGTTATTACTAGGCCTCTTAATTGCATAAATGTAGATATGAGGCTCAAAAAAACAAGTTATAAAAGCCCACACACTTGAATTTCAAATATCTGTTTTTCCTGTCTTTGGTGGTGGGCACCTTTACTGGAAAATGCCAGGGAACAGTGGTGATCTCCAGAGAGATTTAAACACTCTGGAAGCCTCAGACAAAAATGAGCAGGAGCAGTTTCTTGATATGAGATATTACCTGAGAAAATCAGGAGCTCGTACTATCATATGCTGAAAGTCTTCCAGAGAAAGTTTGCCGTCGTTGTCCAGATCGGCTTCATCAATGACCTTGTTGCAYGCAAGGTTGACTTCTTCTGGGGTGAGCTCGTTTCGAGTCAGCTTGTTCACTGTTTTCTCCAGATCCGATTTGCATATGTAATCATCATTGTTAAAATCTGACAAAGGAAGCAAAATAAATTCAAAATGACAAAGTCAGTATTTTACGCAGTTGGTTGCCAAAGCACAATGGGAAGGGTTTGGTTATAATGGTTATAATGCATTTATATAAATAGTGTTTTCATATCACAAATGAAAAGTGCTGCAGTTATCTGTATGGGCTTGTATAAACATTCAATAACAAAATACCAGGCCCTGAGCCTTGGATTTTTATCTCACATAAGGGTAGTAATATAGCTTAATTGTAAATAGCTTAGTGGCTAAACTTGGCTTAATGGTCTAGCCATAATTAAAACATCCTAGCAAATTAGTACCACTAAACAAAATGCAAGGAGCCAGCATGAAGTTAAAAGAAGGGTATAGAGTGCTCAGTCTGGGGGAGTTCACTTTTTCAATAGTTCTTTTTCACAGCTTAAATCACATTTTTTTTTTCTTTTTTTTTTTTTTGGTATATGTCATTAATATGTTGCTTGGCTTTGGCTGATCACTAAGGAAGTAACTGAAAATGGTGTTGTCAGAAAAGAAGAAATAAATCTTTAAAAATGGCCTTGAGGAAAATTGCTGATTTTTTTTTTGTTTTGTTTTGTTTTTTCCTCAAAAAAACCCTACAAATTTATGGGCAGCCAAATCCCTTGTGCTGCACTTTTCCAAGCARTCTCTAACATGGAAGAAATATTTCTAAAAGGTTTATCAGGTCTTGAAAAGTGCAAATAATCTCAGGTTGTAAATTCTCTAGTAAATCCTAAATTCTAACCAGATAACTTCAGAGACAAAAAAATATAGAGGGCCAGAAGTTTCTAGGGCAACAGGCGTTCAAAGGCAACAAATAGAAAGAGTGTATTAAGAAGATCCCTGTCTAGAGATACTGATATTTTGGATTCCTACATCCAGCTGCAGGATTTCCCCAAACTTGCATTGTATGCCTGTCTCACTCACCATAAATTTTAAAGGCATAGTAGGCTTTCAAGTCTCTAGGAGCCATTTCACTCATCACTGAAAACATGTCCAAAAAATCATCCAAAGTCATGTTGCCTTCTCCATCCTCGGAGAAAACCTCTGCTATCCGCTGGCGGAATGGATTGTCCTGGGAAACAGAACACGGGAGCAAGGGATGGTCACCTTTTCTAGTATTTATTTCTATGCAGATAAGACACAATTGGAGCGAGATTATTTTTGTTACAACCCCCTCTTGGCAATCAAATACTCCCTTTGCGGCTCTTATTTTCCTGTCTCATGTTGTCTTAGAAGTAGACACAGCTGCAGCCTTCTTTAACCTTTGCACATTTTCAGTGATTTTTCCAAAGGAAATCCCTAGAAACTTCCAGAAAGTCTTTGACTTACAGTTGCCAAAATTGATTTGTATTTCAGCCTCCCAGCAATTAGTACCGGATGAATTATTTAAAAAAACGGGCATATCAAACTGAAACATGTCACTTGATTCTACTTGTGTTCCTCGCACTGTACCTTCAGCTCTGGCATGCTGCCAATGAGTTCATAGGGAAGTGTCACATCTGGTTTGGCTGTGTAGTCAAGTGGAACTAGCTGTGGGGCTAGATCTCGGTATCTGTAAAAGAGCCTGAAATAGAAAGAAAGACCAATTTAGGGAACAAGATAGTTAGAGCTCTAAAAACAATGTGTTTGCCTTTTCCRTGTCATTTTTTGTACTTCGCATCCTTTACCAGATGGATGGGATCAGTCACTAAATATCATTTAATATGCTCGCTAGCTGATGGTGGAAGAAATAATCTCTTTTTTTTTCCCCTCCAAGGTTTCAGATTTACTTCGACAGTGCAGACAATGATATAGAAGCATGTAGTGTATTTATGATATATTTATGATAACAAGGCACAAGATCTTCAGCCTGAGGTCCACCTAATCAGTTTTYGAATACATAAAAAGTCATTGTAAGGCAGCAGGGATCTGGTTTCCAAGTCAACAATGAATGTGACTAGAAATAATTGGCTACATTGCCCCACACAAGATCTGGTTTAAATGTCAGAACACAAATCTGGAGCTCTAAAGCCAAAGAGATTATTTAGCTCTTGAATCTGGGACCAACTCTAGGTTGTTTTATATCCACCCTAAGTATTTTTCTGCTTCTTTGCACAGAACCATATTCAGAAGACAGAAAATATTCACTAAATYATTTGGACATTTTTAGTACTTTTTCATGCTATTCGCTTAAGTTCTTGAGCTAGTCTAGGGATCCTGTTCGCAGCTGTTGTCAGCAAAACAATAGCACAGGGATCCTTATCAATAATAAATATCTTATGATACAGTTATGGTTCTGGCCTCTATTTATTACATGGGAAGGCAGGCAGCTTTATATTTCACTCATTACAGAATCATTTATATTTTATTCCGAACTGAATTCAGGTACAGATTCCAAGGTTCTAACCAGGGATGTGTTCCGCGTGAAATTGTCAGTTGTGCTCTGCCTTTCAGAGAAATCAGCAACTAATGTGTTGAGAAATGCAGAAATTGAGCATTTATCTTCCTGTTCATTTGCCTGGCGGTTAGCAAAGGAAATGCAGCTTTGCTTTTGTGCATGTTACTGTCCGTGAAAACACCATTCACAACAGGAGGAGAACAAGTTTTCAGGGAAGATTTTTCGATCCAACATCAACAGGGTATGGGAACACATCTTCATCGCTTCTTTTGGACACATTAAATGGATCAGTCTATGAAGGCCTTAGGGGAAAATGCACCTTACAGTAACAGAACAGATTTTTGTTTTGTTTTGTTTTGTTTTTTTACGAATTATTTACATGCAAAATTTWWWAAAAAAATAAAATTGATATAGACTTTACAATTTTATAGAATAGACAAAGTATCCCAAACAATATCACTATACTTTGAAGCATATATTATAAAACAAAGTGAGGCGACCATGAAGTTGCTGTGAACGTGTACACGGAAACATAACTTATCACATTTACTTCAGACGGAGAGAGTGGTACTTTAATACAAAATTTAGATCTGGCTCAGTTTGTGACAGATGATGTAGCTTCTGTAAATTAAAAAAAAAAAAAAAAAGCAATGGCAGTGCTCAGATTTTCCAAAGATGTGGGGATGATTCTGTAAACTATCACGTTATTTTTCAATAAATTCATTTTTAAAATATTTTTAAAAAATCATCCAGAATATAGCAACTCTTGTACTTTGCTCACAAAATATCACACACACGACTCACCTCAGAATTTCTTTCCTTGTAAAGAATGTGCAGTCCTGTGAATTAGAAAAGACRTGTTATGACAGTTTTAAATGCGTTGCCAAAACTTTTCTAATACAGTGACTTAAAAACTTATTATTGTACAAAGAGCCAAGCATTATTTTTTTTGATCTATAATAATGATTATTTCATAAGCCTTCTTCTTGAGGTAAGAAATAAAGTATGTTACTTAAACTTTTGATGTTACTTGATACTTAACCTCCACGATAAAATAAAATAAAATAAAATAAAATAAAATAAAATAAAATAAAATAAAATAAAATAAAATAAAATAAAATAAAATAAAATAAAATAAAATAAAAAGATTGCTTTAAAAACATTTGGTCTTTAAAGACATTTGGTCTAAACAGCCATGTAGTCTGGCCCGGTTCTATACCTGATATGCATCCAGTTGCTCTGGGGTGAAAATGGTTTGTTTGTTGCCCATTTCTGGCCCTGGGCGCTGACTCCTGTCCCGTCATTCTTCCCTCAAAGTTACCTTTATAGGAGGGCCGGATATTCCGATAATAAAAGCTGCAACAATGAGGTTCAGGTATCAAAGGATCAAGTAACCAGCCTCCCCATTGCATGGGCTGCAAAGACTCATAATAGACGCATTTCATCGAATCTTTAGTCTGGCTACTTAAGGCTCTCATCCAGCATCACTCACCTGTCTCCTCTGTGCACAACAGAGACTCATATTACAGTATTTCACCAAACAACTAATAGCTTCTTGGTTGCGTCTTTTAACTAGGTAGACTCCATATGCTGTATTTCTTTCCACTCTTGCAAATATTTTGAATTATCTAAAAACTGTTTGGCAGCTCTTCCTTAAGAATTAACATTAAATGCTAGAAATAAGTAATAATGGAAGTATAATCCCCTTTCCCTTCTTTCTGAGTTTTCTGGGTGCTACATATTATGCACTACCACCAAGAGCATGATACTTTGTGCTGAGGACAGCATCTAAAAAAGCCTCTATTTGGTGCTGTTTAGCAGTATACRTTATTATAAGCTAATGATCATTACTGTGACATGCATACATACACACATTTCAGACTAAAATGCGTATGAATATATGATTTGCCTGTAAGAACTTGAATGTGATGTTAAAGGTTACATGAAATGCAGTATATGAAAACTGAAAGGTGCCGTTGAAGGCAAGAAATACRAATCACAAGGGCCGAGGGAAGGACTGGCTGCAAGGCCCCAGCACGGAGCAGGCTCGGTGTCCAGGGTGGACGATGTCGAGATTCTTGCCCATTCGTCCCTTAAATCGGCAGCTTTGGCGACCAAAGAAGCCCCGTCGCCTGGTTTGGAGGCTGCATCTGCGGGGTGCTGACCACAGGTAGGCAGAAGGGCTCCGCTGCAGAAAGAACCGCCGGCCCGGCTCACCGTCCGGCCATAAAACCGGTAAAAACCATTCAGAATGGGTGTTTTGGCGCATAAACACGGGTGGGGAGCCGGGTCGGGGCTCGGCGCGGCGGCTCCTCGCGGCCTCCCCTCAGGCGCGCGGCTCGCGCGGCGCCGCCTTCCCGCGCGCGCGGCTGCCGTTGCCGGGGCAACGCGGCGGCGCGCGGCGGCGGCCGCCAGGGGGCGCCGCAGGGCGGCGGCGGCGCGCGGAACATGGCGGACTACGAGGCGGTGCAGCCGGGCCCGCTGCGGCTCAAGGGCAGCGGCGGCGTCCTGAGCGCGGGCAAGCGGTGAGGGGGAGGCGGCGAGGGGCGCCCCGGAGGCGGCGGGAGACGGGGCCGGGGGAGGCGGCGTGCGGGCGCTGAGCGCGCTCCGTCCTCAGGAAGAAGAAGAAGGCGAAGGAGAAGGGCCAGATCCTGGAGCAGATCGTGAGCAGCAAGAAGCAGGAGGAGGAGAAGAAGCGCGGCCTGGACAAGCGGACGCCGGCGCAGGTGGCCTACGAGAAGATGCAGGAGAAGCGGGTAAGGCCGCGCGGGTGGCCCGGGCAGCCCTTGGGGCCGCGCTGGGCCCGGGAGCAGCGAGCGAGGGGGGTAACGGCGGCTCTTGTGTCCCCCCAGCAAATGGAGAGGATCCTGAAGAAAGCCTCCAAGACCCACAAGCAGAGAGTGGAGGTGAGCACCGCATTCACCCATTTACCCCACTTCGGCCGGGGTTTATCCACACGGGAGGTGTTGGCGGCTCACGGGAGCAGCTTTGCACCACGAAACCCCCAAGTGGGGGGCTGCAGGGCCCTGGCACCATCCAGCCGTACTCAAATCATCAACATTTCACCTTTTCTCTCCCCTCTTTCCCGCCCCTAGGACTTCAACAGGCACCTGGACACCCTGACAGAGCATTACGACATTCCTAAAGTCAGCTGGACTAAGTGAAGGGGCTCCACAGCCGCATCATTGCTTTGTAAATCCGTGTATTCCAGTAYTGAACGTTTAATATATCTTCTGAAACGCCTATGGCCTTGCACTGTCATATTTCACCACCTTTTACACAAAGTATTCAACAAAATCTCTGCTTGGCTTGTGGAAGCTCTGATTTATATCGATGCCAGGGGCTCTCTTCTAAGAGCCCACAACCAAAAACAACCGGTGTGMGACAGCTGGAAAACTGCCCTGCGAGTGTTGGTACCAACTGCTCTTCCTTCTGGAGCTGGAGGATCTGGGTGTCCCTCACTTACTGAAAGCTTCCCTTGTAAATTATAGGAGCTGTTTTTCGTTTGTGTCTAGAGTTCTTGGAGAGTTTGGTTTCTGTTTTCTAAAACCCTCTTGTAATACAGATGTAACTTCTCATTAAAATGCTTTCATCCTTTTTTTTTTTTTTTTTTTTTTTTTGTGCTCAGTTACCTGTAACAAGAAGTAAGCACTGATAAAAACAGCTGTTCGCGTGTGCAGTTTTCCTCACAGTTTCTCTCTTGGCATACAGTTTGCGCTCTTGTTTTGAGAAAAACAACGTCCAGAATCCCGACCTTTCCCTTAAAACTGGTTTGGGTGAAAGGGCTGGGTCGCCCAGGGGCTTCAGGGTCTCCCAAACCGCCCCCTTTGTGGGCTGCGCCCCCTCATCCCGTCCGGGCCGCGGACCCATTTCCAGGCAGCTCGGAACCGCGGAGGGACCTATTTAACGGGCGCACAACYGGGCCGCGTATCCCTGCGCCCGGCAGCCGGGCCTCGTTGCGCCGCTTCCCGCCGGAAGTGGCGGCGCGGGCGGCGGAAGTGGCTCGGTGCGGCGGCGCGATGTCGGCCAGCGCCGTCTACGTGCTGGACCTGAAGGGGAAGGTGAGGCCGGGAGCGGAGCCGAGCGGCCTCGGGACGCTGAGGGGCCTCTGGCGGCGGCCTCCGCCCGCAGGGAGCGGAGCCGGGCGGCGGTCCCGAGCTGCGCCCCCCGGGCCCCCGTTACGCTCCGTTGCAGGCGGCCCCGCTCAGCCCACGGGGGGTTTCCCATCCTAAAGGGCGTTACTGGGGGGCGCGCACCCGCAGGTGACGGGTACGTGAATACAAGGAACAGGGCTCGTGTTTTAGGGAGGTATTTTGGAGCCCCATCTGCCAGGGTTGGCCTGAGAAGCAGGAGGAGCGAAGCTGGAGTCAAACCTGTTAACGTTTTCCAGGGTACTGAGTGGCACTCCAGGGATTTTGTTGCACCTGGGTGGTAAAGTCAACTGCAAAAAGAGGAAAAAAAAGTTACTGATTTTGTGACCCTTTCCGCAGGTTCTCATCTGTCGAAATTACCGTGGAGATGTGGACATGTCGGAGGTGGAGCATTTTATGCCGATCCTTATGGAAAAGGAAGAAGAGGGGACACTGTCTCCCATCCTGGCACACGGAGGAGTTCGTTTTATGTGGATTAAACATAACAACCTCTATCGTATCCTCTGTGCTGCAGGTCGCTCGCACAAGTGTCAGCTGCTGCTCCGTTGTTTTCCCTGCTTGTGTCTAAGTGCAAAGAGCTGTGGGAAGTGGCATGAGGATGGTTTTAATAAATACAGCAGCCTTATGCTTTAGATAATATAATGTGTACCAGCAGCATAATACATAAATACCTACATTAATTTTACTCTAATAAGCCAAGTCCTGGATCTTCGTATCTTGACCAGAGATGCTGTTAACTAAATCCTAATATTTTGGCCAGCCTTATTTGCTATACTGTAGTATACAGTATGCTGTAGTTTTGAAAATGCACTTGCTAAAAGTGTTTTGAAAGGTAATTCTGTGTGTGTATTCCTGAACATCCTCCGCCAGTTGTTGCAACTTCCAAGAAAAATGCTTGTGTATCACTCGTGTTCTCATTCCTCTATAAAGTAGTTCAGGTGAGTATGAAAATTTAATTTTAAAAGCAAATTCTGTGTTTTTTTTCTTTCTATATTAAGTCTCTTTCTTTTTATATATTTGGTTATATTGTAGACATATTTTCCTAACCCTTAATAATGGAATTGATATTTTGTAGCTGAGGAGACAGAGGATGTGACACAATGCTGTGAATAGTTGCCCAAGACCTGAGAACAGAAGGGAGGATTGGGAACTCATTGCATGCGACATAATCGGGATCACATAATGTGTGTTTTATGCTCGGTTCATCCGTACTTGGCTTGAAAAAATAATTTGACTGGAATACATGTTTTTCATTACAGCCAAGAGTTATGTCTTGAGATGCTGTGGTTCTCTTTGAAGTGAGGTGAAAATGCTGTGGTTCCTCAATAATATCCTCCTCCTTCCCTTCCCTTTTCTGTTGTTTCAGGTTTTTTCTGAGTATTTCAAGGAGCTGGAAGAGGAGAGCATTCGGGATAATTTTGTTATTATTTATGAGTTGTTAGATGAGCTTATGGATTTTGGTTATCCACAAACCACCGATAGTAAAATTTTACAAGAGTAAGTAACAGTTTGTTTCACTTTCCGTGACAAATTCCTTAAGAAGATCCTGGCACTACAATATGCAAAGCAATGTTTTGGCTTGATCTCTTTGCCAAAAAAAATCTAGTGTTTCTCAAGACGTAGGTCTGTGCCACGAGAATTCCTTTAAGTGTTGCTCATATGAATTGGATGTAAGCGATGCTTTGAAAGCTGTAAAGTGTAATTTTTGTGTTTTCTGCACCCATTATGTGGTTGTGAAGGTACATCACTCAGGAAGGTCACAAACTTGAAACTGGAGCTCCACGTCCGCCTGCCACTGTGACTAATGCTGTTTCATGGAGATCAGAAGGGATAAAATACAGGAAAAATGAAGTGTTCCTGGATGTTATAGAGTCCGTTAACCTGTTGGTGAGCGTCTTTTATATGAACTCTTAATGAGAATTCTAGTAGTAGGTGCTGTMAAGAGCTTTTGGTAGCCTGCAGTTTGTCACACTAACTGTGGCTAGCTGTGCTGTGGCACGTCAAACAATCTATATATCTTAAGAATGAGGCATCTGGTAGATTAATGGCACTTTAGTTGGATGTAATTTGTTTCTGCAAGCTCTKATGCTAACTTCTGGTGTGTCCTTTCCTCCTCCTCCTTCCATTTGTCCCCATCACCTCCCTCTATCTCTCCTTTGACGTGATTTCTCAAGAGAAAGGAATCAGAAAAAGAGTGGGTGGGGGAGTGTTGTTTGTTCTTGTGACGTGTCACGTCAGAGCGTTCTTATCTTTCTTTGCCTTGCTTCTCAGGTCAGTGCCAATGGAAATGTATTACGGAGCGAGATTGTTGGGTCCATTAAAATGAGAGTCTTTCTCTCAGGAATGCCGGAGCTTCGCCTTGGGTTAAACGACAAAGTTCTCTTTGATAACACAGGCCGTGAGTATTTCAGTGTTATCTCTGTAATCAAGAATGTTGTCTGGCTGCTTAGACCTTGAGAAGCTCGAAGCTCAGCTGAAAGATTCATTCATAAAACATAGAATTATTCCCTCTACTAGTGTAGAAAACCATGTCAGGTCTTTTGTGTGGCAGAACCAACCAAGAATAGATTACTACGGTAAACATCAGCAGGCTTCCTGATCTCTCTTCACTGAGGCTTCTGTAGTCCTCAAACTGTATTAAGCTAAATGAAATACTGGTCGAAGCAGGGGGGATTGTCAGCAGAGAGCTACTTTTTAACCTGCTGTGATGAGATTTTTTTGGACATAACTTTTGTAGTAGCTTGAAACTTTGGCATGTGTATTTTCTGCTAGGTGGCAAAAGTAAATCAGTAGAACTGGAAGATGTAAAGTTTCACCAATGTGTTCGTCTCTCTCGCTTTGAAAATGACAGGACGATTTCTTTCATTCCACCTGATGGAGAGTTTGAACTCATGTCATATCGTCTTAATACCCACGTAAGTCTGGACGTTTGGATCTTAGCTTATAATCTTCTTTTTAATGAGAATATTATAGAGCATCAGTAATATTGTTATTTTTTCTCATATTCTTCTTGAATTATGAGCAGTACAGTAATTACCAAGTCAACTATTAATAGCAAAGCCTTGGGCAACACTTTTTAGAAGAAGTAGGAAAGGGTTTGAAAATAGCTTGACAGTATGTCTCTAAAATTCCGTTTCTATGAATAATCTTTTTTTAAGCTAATGTACAATGAATTGACAGTGCTGCAATTCACTGACAACAGCGGTGTTTTAGGCTATGGTGATAAGAGTAAACCTTGGCAAAAGAGAAGTTCATTATGTAGAATGTACTTAATATGCACCCATGACAGGAGACAGCAAATAAAGTCATTAAGTTTCCCCTCAGTGGACTGTTAATTCTTAAAAATAATGCCTTAATTTAGAGTTGCTGTTCTTAGGAGTTGTCATAGTTCAGTCTTTTGTGAATTGAAATTTTTAGATGAAAGTGTTTGTTATTAGAATTTTTTTTTCTGAGGTATACTTTTTAAGCCTATAAGTTTGGTCATATTTCTGTGTGCGTATATTAATATTTCCCCATTTGTATAAACATTTAAAAAAAAATAAGTTGGCCATTTGAAACTCTACAGTCTTCTTCTGTGGGTTTCATATACTGAGAGTACCCTGGGGAAACAACGTTTTCCTGACCGTGTCAAAATAAAACCTACAGCTGTTGAGTGTTTCTTCACCACCAGGTAAAACCACTGATCTGGATTGAGTCTGTGATTGAAAAACATTCCCACAGTCGCATCGAGTACATGATCAAGGTCAGAAGTTCTAAAATAATTATGCCTAATTTTAGTCTCCCCTCTCATTTGTTTTTGAAGCTTGACTGATGGTACATGCAGTTTTATACAAATATTTAGTATTTCTGTGGGTTTTGCATCTCTTGCAAGTTTCATTTGTAAGGTAAAATCTCAGCATTATAATTCTATTTTTCAGTAAATAGCTTGGGGTGGAGGGGAATTTTGTGTCTCATTTCTCTAAATCATTTGCATACTGAAAAATGAAAGGGAAATATTTAGAGGTCTGCTTTTCTCACTTTTCTTCTTCAGGCAAAAAGTCAGTTTAAACGTAGATCAACTGCCAACAATGTGGAGATTCACATTCCAGTTCCCAATGATGCAGACTCACCAAAGTTCAAAACCACGGTTGGAAGCGTCAAATGGGTTCCAGAGAACAGTGAGATTGTCTGGTCCATTAAATCTTTCCCAGTAAGTGTTACTTGCCTAGTCTGACTAGTGTAATTAGTATTCATGGTTTATGAAAGTTCAAACTCACTTTAAAGCAAATTCTGATAATATCAAGCTATAGTAGTACTGTCCTTTTCCATCCCATCATTGTCACAGATGAAGAATTGCAGCTTGCCCACAAATACATTAGATTTCACTGCTTAAAACTTTTTTTAGGTGGGATAATTTTGCAGGATTAGGTTCGACAGCAGAGTTTGAGGGATGTCAGTGGATGGCATAATCCTTTGGCCTGGGTTTAGCAGCAGCTGTTGTAGTTTGTCAGATGGTGTTCCTTAGGCAGTACCATGAATAATAATCTCCTTTTAAATGCTTGTGGGAGGGTAGCACAGTTTTCTGTTGTGATTTCGCTGGGCTGGTCAGCAATACCAAAAGAAAAAGACTGATTTGCTTTGTCGTCATTGATGGCAAAACTGTTGAAAAAAGTGAGAGTTGTGTCCCTTGGCTGGTCTTAATTAGATCTGCAGTTGAGAAAATACTTTTATTTTTTAATAGAAACAGGTGCTCTTAAATTTTAGAGAAGAGCTGAAGTGATTACTGGAGCTCGGCAGTCATTAGCTTATTGTTGGAAGCTTTTATTTTTGAAAAAATAAGTCCTTTTTTTTTTTGGATAGGGTGGAAAGGAGTATCTGATGAGAGCTCACTTTGGACTTCCAAGTGTTGAAGCTGAAGATAAAGAAGGAAAACCTCCCATTAGTGTCAAGTTTGAGATTCCATATTTCACCACATCGGGAATCCAGGTCAGTAGCTGAAAAGAGAAAGTTAATGGTAAATTAACRTGCAAGACATAAATTGTTGCAGTTAAGCTTTGAGTCTTACTTGTAAAGCTCCTGTGTTAACTTAATTGTTCCAGGATGTTTAATGACCTGGCTGACTCTTGTCTCCTGTAAATACTTCCTCCTTGCATGAAGGTGCTGCGAGTGGCTGCGTTATTTCAGATAAAGCATGGGCTAGTGCAGGTGTCTGGCCTTTGTCCCCATATTTGCACCCGAAAGCTTTGTGCTTCCTATTTTTCCTGCTCCCTGTCCATAAAAAGCTTCTTTTGACAAGCAGTATTGTTTTGTTAACTCCCATCAGCCAAGAAGTGTTTATGGAAAAGACTTTTCTTTCCAGGTCCGTTACTTAAAGATAATTGAGAAGAGTGGCTATCAGGCTCTCCCGTGGGTTCGTTACATTACCCAGAATGGAGGTGAGTTGGAAAACAATAGACTGTCGAAATATCAGTCTCGTATATGTTAATTCTCCAGCACATGCCTACACTTTAAAACATACAAGAACATTTGTTCTTTACCTGACTCTTCCAGGTTCAGGCATGAGTTTGTTTTCATGGTCATTCTACATAGAAGCCTTTCTTTTAGGTTATTTCTGCATATCTATGTATCTCAATTTGTTGATCATAGGCATTAAAGTGTATATATGTGTGTATATAATATATATATATTATTTTTAAACAGACTACCAGCTTCGAACACAGTAAACGCCTTGCAAGCACCACAGAAGACAAAACTTCAAGCCTAGAATTTGTTTGCGAAGACCTCTGTGGTACTGAGAGCTGTGAATGTTGTTGCCAAGGTCTTGTATCTACAAACACGGATTGTGCAGGAGAAAGATGGGAAATTTACTGTTTTCAATAATGTGTTTGAGCGTATGAACCATTAGTATCGATTGTGAGGATATTTATTTCATTCATTGAACATGCTGATCTTGCTGCTAAATGCAATTACAGTAGGAGTAGCAGTTATCTTGAGGAGACAGGAATCCAGAATGAACCTTGAGAATGTCTTGTCAATGCCTTGTCAGTTGTACTCACAAAGTCTTTAGTATTCATATTTTAGAGTCTTTAAAGACATTGGCAGCACTGTACTACAAATTAGAGAGATGATTGTGCAATTCCATGACTGCTGAACGCGTAGTTGTATTTAGCCCAAAGTATTTATTTTTTCCTCCRGGGCATCTGGGTGCCTTAACTCATTCAAAGCTCTGTTAACTTATAAAGATTTACTGAATAAGAGTTAAAACTATCCCAAGTCCAAAAAATCGTTTGTGCTTTTTGAATGGTTTTTCAACTTAATTCGTCTTGAGGAACAGCTTCATTAAGTTTACAGGTGTGTTAAAGACCAAGTTCACAGAAAGCAAGAGTTCACAAACCTACATTCAGTGGGAACATCTCTGTGGAAGCATGATGATTGCTGGTTCAGATTAGTTCAGGTGCAAGTTGAAAAGATCCAATACATTATAAAAACCCTATGCCAATTAAGTACTACTTGCTTTTTCTTTATTAGTAAGATGAAATTCAAAAGTATAATGTGTAGGTATAAGACCTTAGATGAAGTAATTCAAAGGACCAAAACAGTTGTGGAGGCAATGAAATTTAATAGGAAGATAGTGGATTTTTTCTTTTTTTTTTTTTGCCAAATAGCAGTAACATTCTCCAGCCTCTTCCTGACAATTGATTGTTGTTTATGGAGAGGCTGATGGAAATACAGTTACCGTTTCTCTTCTGTTTCTTGCCTTTGTGTCCGTTTTGGGCAGATTGTTCCGGTTTTTGCTATAATTCTCTGGAGTTATTTGCCCTGAAAGGGATGCTTGCTTTCTCAGTCTCCTCCATTTGTAAACAACTGTTGTTATAAGCTTCCTGGCAGAATGCAGAGCAGTTCAGAATGTTGTGCTTAAAAGGTGTCTTTTCTTTTTTTTTTCTTTCTTAATTTTTTTATCATGTTGTTTCTTTTTTTTTTTTCAGAGAAAATAAGATTGGCATGGGTGTATATAGTTCTGATTTCAGATTAAAAAAGAAAAACAATTCAGTATTTTCTTTATTTTTTTTAGAATGTTTTTTGTTTGAGTTTAGTACTCCTGACAGATGCTGAATTTGAACTGCTGAAAGCTCAGTATGTGTCCCTGAACTTGATGTAATATATAGAGAGCTCTGTTGACTCTGCCATAACGTTGGAAAGATATTCTGCTCATTGTCCCCGTTAAATCCTTGTAGAATATAAGTACCTACGCTATATATTATTAGGAAAAAAATTGATTAAATTCCCCTGAGATGCAGCTTCTATCATGTTACAGGAAGGTGTGTTTTGGAGAGGACTGACAGCTGAAGGGGTCAGGTTGGTAACAGGGCAGGGGCTGGGTGCACGATCACCGATGAGGGAAGGTGTGTTCTGGAGGAAGGTTACCGTATTTGTCACCCACCAGGCTTTATGTTGAAACAGATCACCCTGGTCAAGATCTCGGTTCCACTGCTCATTTTCATTTGAAAAATTAAGCTTATGACTGGACAAAACATTTTATATTAAAGTTGTAACTGGTTGACAAATTACTTGATCCGTCTGATGCTTTTATTCCTCAAACTGTTTAATCACTGTAAAATGTCACTCTCTGTGAAAAAATATAGGAAAAATATTTTATAGCAATTTGAGTGTGTTTTGGTGGTGGGGCAACAGCCCAAGTAGTCCAAGGCGTAGTAAAGGGCAAAAAGGCCTCTCTCCATCACTTGTATCTCATTCTTTTGTCACAGCCTCAACTCTTAGAGCATCTTCAGTTATTGTAGCATCAGACCTGAGTAAGTGGGATTTGCCAGTACTTCTGGCTTTTATAAAGTTATTCTTGATATATTTTAAATTGGAAAAAAAAATCTTTGCTATAGTACTACATATGCTCAGCAAACTTTACACATTTCTGAACGTATATATATTGATTAACACCTACTACTTATCCATTAATTGCTGAAATACTGTATTGTTACATACTGTATCTCTCATTTCTGCTTTTATATTTGTGTATTTTGAAAATAACTCTTTTGGGGGAGGGCAGGGGAGGAACCCAGGAGCGAGCTCTGTGCTCAAAGCAACTGCATCTGTCTATGTTGTCTTCAGCATCCCCTCGAACACGGGACGTAGGAGATGTGCCTGCTCTGCCGGCAGGTGGCCATCCGAGCCTGCTGCACGTTGCAGGACCACAGAATGGTTGAGGTTGGAAGGGACCTCTGGAGATCATCCAGTCCAACCTTCCTGCTCCAGCAGGGACACCCAGAGCACGGGGCACAGGGCGGCATCCAGGTGGATTTTGAAGACCTCCCGAGAAGGAGCCTCCCCAGCCTCCCTGGGCAGCCTGGGCCAGGGCTCTGCCACCCTCACAGTGCAGAAGTTCYTCCTCCCATGCAGATGGAACTGCCTGTGTTGCAGTTTGCACCCATTACCCCTTGTCCTGTCACTGGCCAGCACGGAGAAGAGCTTGGCCCCTTCCTCCCTACATTCTCCCTTCATTAACTTATACGTGTTGATCAGATCCCCTCTCAGCCTTCTCCAAGCAGCTCGGTTTGGAGGGGCTCTCTTCCCATTGACCATAARAAAGTCTCATACATAACAGGGTGCTGATGTACCTCTTGGGTTGCAAGTTAGAGCTGTTTTCTGGCTTGGGATTTCATTTTACCTTTTTTATGTTTATGTGATATGATTTTTTGGAGTTCAATAATCTGCTCTTTAATATAATTTGACTGTTCTTTGGTCACAAAATCAAGCCTCAGGTCATCCAAAAGCTCCTGATTGATATAAACCCTTATTTCTAGCTTAAGGGAAGAGAGCCTCTTTTTCACTGGATTATTTCTGTAGAGAAAMCTACAAGGAAGCAGCTAAGACCAACCTGCCAAGCAAATCAAAGGTGATAGTTGCAGCGGCCACTCTTCCCTCCACCTCCGTCTTCCACCTGGGGAGGTTGTTTTATTGTTTTTCTTCCATATCTCTTGATTCTTCCTTATTGCTCTTCTTTTATGCCTCTGCCCTCTTCGGACGGCCTTTATGTCCTTCCTGCCCCTTGCTCTAACCTAATTTTGCCTATAAAATGTTTTTAAACCTCAAGTTAATGAGGCTTTATCTGTGCAGGGGTTAACGGATTGCACCTAGTTGCCTCTGGCTTTAAATCCTGGGCTGAGGACTAGGCTAAACTGGCGCCCAAACTCCGGCGCGYGCCCCGCRCAGCAGCGTCTTGAAGTGCCCGTCACCTTCCTGCGCCTTGGTGGCCACCTGCTGCTCTTTGCAACGTGGGCAGCCCTGCGGCACAGGCCCGTGGATGCTACCAGGAAAGAATGCGAAATTAAGGCACAAAACACAGTCCTGGTTGTCACGGTGATTAATTGTCAAATTAACTGCGTCACTTTATGTTGCAGGAGGAGCTGCACTAAACCACCGACCGCTTGTAACCCTGCTTCCAGTGCACTTTGTGCAGTCTGGGTGCACACAAATGATTCCCTCCCGGGACAGAGATAAGCCCATTTCCCTGGCAGGTGGAAGCACAGGGCTCAGCTTAGTCCCATCTCCCACAGGAGCCGTGAGAAGTTTCCGTCGCTCTGTCCATGCGTCCTGCCTCCCTGGAGCTGCTGTGCTTGGATGTGGCACTTGGATGGAACCAGCTTCGGCAGGACAAATTCTGCATGTGGATCCCGGCTGCCTGTGGCAGCAGCACGCTCAGCTGTGCCCATTCCTTCCCTTTCCTAAACATCTTGGATCTTGATGTGGCTGCCCAGGGAGATTGGAGCCACCATTCCCCCTTGARCTCTTCTGCCGGTCTGGGGTTGCCAGAGCGGTGGAACCAGAGGTTTTGGGCTTGTGATAATTTCATTCTGAATAACAGACATGATCTCTGGTTTGACCCTTTTTCTTCCCTTCTACTCCYGTCTCCCCCTCCACGCTGCCCAAATTCCCTTACGCTCCTTCTGATCTTGTTGACTTCTTGGCCTCCTCGGGTTGGCCATGGGCTCCYTCAGTGCTCCTTCTCCAACTGCTGCAGCCGCACAGCAGCTTCCACATTCCCTTGGGRGCTGCTGGTCAATAAATAAGGAGAAATGGACCCAAACCGGCCCCCTGGATCTGAGCAGTCAGCACCAACAGGTGGAGGATGCTCTCCACGGCGGAGTGCTGGGCCACAAGGAACTTCACCAAGGCTTAGCTCAAACCTTGGCTCCAGCTTTGTACCTTGGACTGAAGGTTTGTTGTGGGCCCTTCTCCAATATAAAGCCAAGAAATGTAAAACAAGAGTGACCTTGTGCAAGGCAAAGAGTGGCCGCGCGATGTTGTGCTGGGAGCCCGGGGCAGCCAGGGCGCTGCTGGGAGAGGGGCTCTCCCTTTCCCCGGACGTGGGAAAACACCGCTTGGTTTTGGATATGCCTGTCCCAGGGATGGGCGGACGCAGGATGGGGTGTGTTGAGAAACGTCAAGTCCGATATTTAATTATAAGGCTTTAAAAAACATATTTTTTTTCCATTAAGTTAACAAAACCCTGAAACTTTCTTCTATTTTCTCCTTAAGGACCAACATGCTACCTAACCCGAGCCTTTCCTAGAGCACCCTGCTTTCTGAACGTGTAGTTCTGAAGAAAAGCAGATGGATGTTCAGAGAAATGGGGCAGTTGGGACCAAGTCAGGACCAAGGTTGTTGCCTGTGACTCTTCAAGCCATCAAGGCAGGACTTGGGACACTGATCTCAGGCTGGTTCTTCCCACTGCTCCATCCGCCTGGCAGAGCCCCCGGSCCCTGGGCAAAGGTTTTGGGCTGCTGCTTGTGCCACGTTTCAGGTGCCAAGTCCCACGGGCACCGCAATAAGTCGCAGGGATGCAAAGGAGCCCAAACGGTGGAGACTTGAGTAAAAAAGTGAGGAAGAAGGTGCAGGGCTAATGCTGGGAATGACGGCCGTGCTAAGTGCCAGCTGTATGAACAGGGGTTGGGGAGGGGGACAGCCTTCAACCCAAAAAGCAGCCCGAGAAATTGAAAAGGAGCAAGTTTAGCACTGTTTAATAAATAAATAAATAAAACTTCTTTTCACTGAGTGAAATTCCTCCTTTTTGTGGGATTTGTTTCCGAAAGGACTTAATGGAGAGGTGCTGGGGCGGGGGGGGGGTCTTGCAGCCCTCCGCTGGGGCAGCCCCCCCGTCCCCTGCCACCTTAACAAATTCCCAGCCGCGCGCGGGCCACCGGCCGCGGGACGGGTGTTTATTTTGCCGCAGCCTTATTTATTAAAGCCAAAGCCCGAGCCGGAGCCCGGCTACGTGTCGTGGCCACGGCAATTGTTCGAGTTTCCGAGAGGGCACCAGGGTCGCCGATAACATTAGCAGCCAAGTGCTCCGTTGTCCTCTCGCGCTATCGGCAGGAAACATCTTGAGCGGCGCAGGAACCAGAGCTTCGTAATTGGCCTGGGGCGAGAACATGACAGCCTTTCCTCATCCTATCAGCGCTCGGATATTTTGGGAGCTGGTATATAAAGCGCGCAGCACACAGTGTCTTTTGGACACCAGGAGCAGGTTCGTGGGAGAAATCCGTGCGCTTTGCTATTTTCGTGGTTGCTATAGCTGCGGCGTGCACTCGTTTGCTTGCCCTGCGTGGCCAGCGCGATGCTTTGTGCCCCTCCAAATGTATATATATGTTTAAATTCTTACTTTCTGAGAGCAGATGGGCATAGTTGAAGCTGCTAACGTGGTGCTATCCACCCTATAAAGGCGTCCATGGCAAATAAAAAGGGAAACGAATGTGTAAATCCTATTAAAGGAGGTCTTCGGCTTTCGGTAAGCACTCCCAGATTTCTGTGGCTGGGATTGAGCTTGATCCCAGCACATTTCAGATGCTGCAGGGTGCTAAAGCTGGGTGCCAGGGCGAGATGCGCTCCTCGGCCCGAGCCATGTGGATAACGCAGCAAACACATTTCTCCATAACTAGCATTAGCTCAACATGAAACAGCAGCTAATATTAAAGGGTATTTAAGCGCAGCTGGCTGGGGCTGAGTTGGATGGTGACCCGTGTTGTGATTAATGTTTCGCAGGGCGTTACAGCAGCCTCACCAGAGCTAAACTGGCCGTGGTTTTTTTCCATAGCTGCTGTCACCGCTTTGATCCAGAGTCGCTTTTGAGGATGGGAAGYGGTAGCAGAGTGACCCCAGCCAGCAATGGGCCAAAATCAGGGCTAGAGAGAGAAGCAAAACTCCTATTAAATCCCTCATGACCAGGGCACTACACGGCCTTTGCAGTAATAATTGCACTGACCATTGAGTCYCCCAAACCAGCCTTGCTAA